GCGGGGTTCGTATTCAGTTATCACCTGTGCCATAACATCACTGCTTTTGTCTTTATTGTCGCAACTGATTCATCTATCACTTTATTTCAGGACACAGTTCAAATCCCCCACATATAAGAGCTTCCTACCAGTACACATATGCTGTCACAAATTAGAAAATTGGTGAATCCCACTTGCAGTGGGAATTGATTATATGCGAAGCAAAAATGAGGAACTCTAGTACGTCACTTTCAAACCAGCACAACGTCACGAGGCGGACGTAAAGTATGCCGTACATGACTTCCATGTTCGTGATAATCATGTTTGGACGTGTCATTTATCTTCGTCGTCTATTTATATCGCGTGATACAATTACTGCAGCTAGCGAACCACCATGAGCAAGCTATCAGCATAGCATGTAGTCATGTTTTACATGGTACACATGCCATGGTTATCATGTTTGCACCAGTAATACGCCTTCGTCGTTCATAACAATCACGTTACACTAAATTCGGCATATGTGCAGCTAGCCAACCACCATGAGCACGCTATGAGCATACCACGTAGCCTTGTTTTACGAGGTACGCATATCAAGATTATCATGTTTGCATCTGTGATATGCCTTCGTCATCCATTGACATCACTGAATAACAAATTTGGTATAAGTGAAGCTAACGAAACGGCCGTGAGCGCGTAATGAACATAGCATGTAGTCATGTTCTCACGTGATACGCATCTCATGAGTGATGCATGATTGATCCTTGTAAGAGAACAAAATGTTTGCAACAGTCATATTCTTGGTCATCCATTCATGCTCCGTAATACCAAATTGGGTATATGTGAAACTAACGAAACGATCACTAGCGAACCATGAACATGGCGTGTAGTCAAGACTCACGACTTACATGACATGATGTCATAACTTCCACGTTAATGTTCGCCATGCCGTTATGTCATACCATACCAGTTTCGCAACCTGTCATGTGAATGAAACTATCCCGAGAGCCGCAAGACCATAAAACATAGTCATTACATTGATGACATACATGTCATGATTTCCATGTTATGATTAGTCACTCAAGCTCATCATACCATCACGTTATTTCATGCCAATTTAGGTATAGATACAATTATCGATACGACCAGAAGAGCTAAAAGTCGTGGGCGGCTAGATAGATAGATGAATGGATGGATGGATGGACGGATAGACAGACGGATACCCTCAAAGTCACGGTCATTTGCTAAGAAATGCTTCGCATAAAAAAAAAACTCGCTTTTGGCCTATAGTTGGAGCGTAAAAATATAGAATGTGCCATTCTGTGCAGCAATAATCAAAACCATTCATAATAATCGGCCTGATGAACATGAAAAGACCGTTTGCAATGCTGGAAGTATTTTAACAAAGAGAAAACACACCCCAGACCTTCTTTTTCAGGTTTGAGGTTAACATGCGAAGGTATTTAGTGGCACGTTAGGGACACCCCACGAGTAATAGGTTTTGTGGCAGATTTAACGATGCTGCATATAATGGGGCTAATGGTGCTAATGGGCTATACTCAAGAAATTTCTAAGAGCAGCACAAGAAAGGGTAAGTGTCGGTAAGTGAAGACAAAAGCACGCTATTCGGCGTAACTTCGTCTGTATCACAGTTGACGCCCTATTGAAAAAACACCCACCATAGGAATGGTGGATTTCACCATCCACCATTTTGGTGGATTATGGCGGTGGAAATGTTGGTGGCACATAGTGTACGGTGGCTATGGTGGAGCGTATGGTGGATGGCATGCTCCAGCTGGCAATGCTGGAGCACGTAGCAGCGTCAAAACCCCCGTGACACGCTAGCCACTAGCGCTATTATTATTATTTATTATCGCTGCCACTAGCGATAATAAAAATAATTGTATTAAAAAACGGTCTAGAAAGCACCTAGAAAAAAAAACTTGCGACTGCTGGGAATCCAACCTGCCACCTCCGAATTCTGAACTGAGCACACTAACCATTGCGCCCCACCTACAGATGGCGATGTGGGTGTTAAAGTGGTAGTCAAGTAAGGAAGTCACTGTTTAACTTCAGTTCTGTTTGTTGTTCACTCGGGAGGAACGGGATCTGCATCTGCTAAAATTTGCACATTTGATAAACACGAAGAACTGCTGCCTGTAACGATTGCCACTGCGATAATGGCAACAGCGCTATGTTATTTTTACAATTGACAACGGCAAGGGAAAAAAAAACAACTCAGTGGAGTAAGGAGCAGGTAGACTTTATCGGCGGTTACTGCCAAGTTTATTATCCGCTTCTCGCTTCTTCCAAAGAGCGATATCAGTTCAGGCTTTATGACGCTTCTATGGTCATTTGATAGATACGCCCACACAATTGATTCTGATGTTTTTCGCGCAACACAGAGCACCGTCGTGCCAGCGCACCGCTGTCGCTCTGTCGTCAGGAACAACTACCTAACGGCTTGGCGAAAACGATTGCAGTGCGCCAGAAATATTATTCTATCATATTAGTTCATTAAGCATACAAATTGACGTGTCTATGTTCTCGATTGATTGATTTGTGTGGTTTAACGTCCCAAAACCATCATTTGATTATGAGAGACGCCGTAGTGGAGGCCTCCGGAAATTTTGACAACCTGGTGTTCTTTAACGTGCACCCAAATCTGAGTACACGGGCCTACAACATTTCCGCCTCCATCGGAAATGCAGCCACCACAGCCGGGATTCGATCCCGCGACCTGCTTGTCAGCAGCCGAGTACCTTAGCCACTAGACCACCGTGGCGGGGCCATGTCTATGTTCTCGCATAAGAACCAGTGAAGTGCCGGCGAGTGCGACCGGCGGCTGTCGGTGAGAAGAGGCGTACCTTTGGTGGAAGTGCTGCAAGTGCGTCGCATCGATGTTTGTCGCTTCTTGCGAGGACACCGCCCATGATAAAAAAGGCTTAATTTAGGGTAAATGATGCCACAGCTGTGCTGTATTATCATTTTTACTTGTCAAAATTGTGTATTCTGAAAGCCAGAAGCGCTGAAAACACTTGTACGGGCTCGGTCGGTATGACTAACCTTTGGTGGAAATCATGGTGGTAGAACAGAGGGGTAAAAATCGAATTCTCTGGGGCTCATCTCGATGCCTGTCGAAAGTGAAAGTTTATGCATATTAGCACGCACTTTGTTAACTTAAAGGGACGGCTCAAACAATAGAGTGTGCAAGAATTACCAGAGTTGCGTTTCTAGCGTGGCGACATCGAGCTACCACTAGTGTTCTGCTCTAACATTCACAGGGCGATAGCGAACTGGAGCCCATTTATTGGTCGACTACTGCGCGCCGATGTAAAACATTTACTGTCACGTTCACAGTGACAATTCTAGTTTTCTAAACATCACAACAAAGAAACACATCGCGGATGTCGAACTGACGTAAGTGTGTGCGCAAAATGTGAGCATATTCCTGGCCGCATATTTTATGCTCCACAAAAATTGAAGCGTTGTTGACACCACAGGAATAAAAAACAAACGTACTAAAAAAAGCGTAATGAGCAGCGTTGTTTTTTTTACCGTAAACATATATCTCTGCGCATTCAAAAATGAAACACTACAAATAAGTGATTTCGCATACTTTTCTGTGCTTTTCATTATGCCACCCTCATCCGCCAAGCCTTCCACCAAACACGTTTTGCCTCGCCACCATGAGCCGGCATTTTCCACCGTCCCCACTATTGGCTCGCCACCACCACCACCATCTGCCACCATTTTTTTCCACTCTAGCCGCCATCAGCCGACGTTTTCCACCGTCACCCCCACTGGCTCACCACCACCACCACCATCTGCCATCATTTCTCCACTTTAGCCGTCATCAGCCATAATGGCCACTACAGTTTCCACCATATCCACTAATATTTCGATCATATCCACTATTCTTTCCACCATATTCACCAACAATTCCAGCATCTGCCAACTCAGGATTTTCAATAGGGCGGAAGCACCACAATCCTGAAGGAAGTCATTTTCAAGAATCGCGTCATGAGTGCAACGTTATAGTACGAGAAATTTCGTTATGAAACCTTTTTGACCCATTAGAATACTTGCAATGCAAATGCCAAAAGAAACAAGGCACTCTCCGCTGACATCCCGAAATGTCCCATAAACACTCCACGGAAACATAACTTTCCGACCCAGTCGTACTTCAAAAGTCCCTCACATGACACAAACTGCAGCACGGTTATATGCTAATGCACTTGCAGCCTGTTGTGAACGAACAGACCGAAAAGGCATGATAGTTAGAACTGCCTATTCACATAATTTGAAAGCGAATATTATGATGATGATATGTCTCCTTCGTCTTTGAATTCTTGCTCGTCTTCTCATTTATCTTCCTGTTTCTACATATTACCGGGGTCTCTATGGCGCACACTTATAAGCCGCCTTCCAGTGTATAAAGCAACATGGTAAGAAGTCTTCAAAATACAGACTCTTTAGAGTTGGTTTCGCCCTGAAAAAACTTCCTTCACCAACCATATTTTTCAAAAGCCCTTTATATTTCTTTCCTAGAGTAAAACAATGTCACCTTTTTTTAAGTTTCTCATGATTATTTCTCTTGTGGGTTTCAATAATGCACTCCTCATTTCTTTCATATACTGAGAGTTCCATCATTGCAACTATACTTTAGTAACTTCTTCACGAAGTCTCCACACTTGCTGAAGGTTGTGGTCCCATTCTTTATTTACGGCTACTCTAATCTTTCGCTTCCCGCTAATCAGATGTTGGCTCGTCTGATTCCTCGTCAATGTACGTAAATGGTCGGTTGTTCATGATGCCATCAACTTCACTGACTAAAGTATGCATCTCATCTTCATTTAGTAAACGCCGACCTATCAGTTTTTGCAAAGATTGTTTGAACCTGCGTATTAGTCGTTTACAAAATTCACCCCGCAATTGTGCGTTTGAGGGAATAAATGTGCACTTGATACGATGCTTGGCGAGAAAAATTCTTGTTTGCTCAGGTTGTAACGTCGTCATTATGTTCAATTTTTGGTAGCTTTATTGAAAGCCTTCCCATTGTCGCTGTAGATGACTAGGGACATCCCTCTTCTTGCATTGAAGCGTCGAAAAGCTTGCAGAAAACTTTCAACTGAAGTGTCTCTAGCTGTTTCCAAGCGCACGGCCTTCATAACTGCGCATGTAAAGATCACCATTGTGATAGCAAATATATGGACACTCTCGGCTGAATCTCGCAGCTGGCATCAATATTGTGCACCGTATATGTATACGTATCTATATATATAAAAACGAAAGATAGAAACAAAATCCAGAAAAAATCTCCAGCGCGCAGAATCGACCGTGGGACCTTCGCGTAGAGAATGCGAGGCGTTAATCACTGAGCTACCGACGGGTACCCCCTTGATCATTCAAATGGCAAGCTATCTATATCTACCACTTGCCACTGCTGGCGCGCATTTAAGGGGGGGGGGAACTATCGTGTTTTCAGCATTATCAGCAAGATGGCGCAATTCGTGCGCGACGGCTCACATCTCTCACGCGTACTTCGGTCCGCGGAGAGGAGGTTATTTGACAATCGCTCAAGCGCCCTTATCTCCCGGTAGGCAAGATTATACGTCTAGGCTGGTGTTTGGCTTGCACTGGAGCGATTCTGTTGAAACTTCGGGGCTCACAAAGTTCACTGCAATCGTCACACGGCCTCCGTTTGCGAAAGGGGGACGCTTTTCAGACGCAGCGAAGGAACAACGAAGAAGCTTATTCACGTAGTTGTGAGTACGTTTGGCGTGTCAATTGTGCATGAGAAATGCGGACACGTTTCGATCTGCTTGCCATTCTGTGCGTGACCTTCCTATTTGTTTCTATCGCGTTTATTGCTTCGCCTTTGCGGCAAAGCTGAGACTGTTTTATGTAAACCTTTATTATCTCTTCCTTCGTTTTGGCTGCTTGCATAGGGCCCGTGAAGTCTATTTCAACTATTTAAGAAGGTGCAGTCCTTGTTACTCGGTCAGCAGACAAGGTGTTTCTTGTCGCAGTGGTCTGTATTTCTACATTCTGCATATAATGCATGTTCTAATGATATCTTTTACATCCTGTCATCGTCTGATTATCCAAAACTTGGTTCTTAAACGGGCTAGTGTCTCGTAATCTGCCGTGAAAAGTTTCTTCGTGCGCATGACTAATCAGTACCCTTGTAAAATGATTTTTACGGGTATTACTATCAGATGCTTTCGTAGAATGTCGTACTTGTTTCTTGAAGTCGTCCTCTTAGACTCAGTATGCATTGTTCGCCTGTGAATATCTGACATCCCCTTATTCTTTCATGTGATCCGACTTTCTATATTTCTTGGGTAGGTTCCACATTTTCTTCTTGCCGAGAAATACGGTTCTTCTCGGCCTCGTTCTCTTCAGCTGTTAGAGGACCACATAGTGTCTCGCGTTGATTAATACAGTAAAAGTGAAACATCCAAGCTGATATCGTTTGCATGTTTGAGTAAGTACCAAACATCTCTATTTATTTTATTTATTTTATTTTATTTTATTATATTTGAAGTTTATTTCTTTCTGATACAGAAAGAGGAGTAAGAGCTAAAGGCCGTATTGCCTGACAGAGGCTCCTACTCCCATGCGCATTTGGCATGCGTGTACATGTTTGCATGCGATGCAAGTATACAAACAATAGAGCAACCAGAAAAATCAAAACATGTATGTACATAATTGTGACTGCAAATAAAGCATTACAGATAGCCATCATACATGAAAACTCTTCATGAAAACAAACATATCATGCACACACTCCAATAATATATACCTATAAGCATTAAATTGCGAACTTTCAAATTGTAGCACAAACTGTATTTCGATTCCTCGTTCTGCGCGTTGTTACGTCGTATATTCAACAAGTGTTTTAACTTCCCTTCTTTTTTCATTACTACCTGGCTCTTTGTGACCCGGATAGCTTTTGTTCAGTAACCACTCCGGTCCTTCGTACAGAGTTTCTGCTGATGAAAATTGTTCCCCGTTGACTCATCTTGCTAGAAGTTTCAACCGGATTTTCATTACTGCTTACGTATGCACATTGACTCTCGGCTGAATCGTTTTTTGCATTTCTTGTAGTCGATGTTCAATGAGCGCTGCACGCATTCCTTTTTTTCTTATCCAGGTTAACACAATTTTAGCATTCGCCGAAAATTCAGCAAGTCAGTTACTTGTTTCAGACTACTTCTGATGTAAATCCACATGTTCGCAGATACTGTTACTCCAAGAAGTTCTAATTTCGCTTGGATCATTGCTTCATTGGAGACACTTTACTTCTTGCGAAAATCAGCACTGTCTTTTTGACTCCGTTTTATTAGGACAACACCATGTAGGCTACACTCCCATATGCGGCAGGGCTTGCATCGGAGAAAATGTGCAATTCTCTGTTCAAATTTAGTTTCTTATTTGAAATATACTGCCCTCGTACATTTATATTTTTGGTTGATTTAGTTTTCTCCAGCCATTTCCTCCATACCTTCTCATCTTGCTCTGCTAGATGATTGTCTCAAGCAATTCCAGACTTTCAGAGCCTTTGTATCGCTATCTTTGCTTTTACAGTGACAGGTGTTACAAGTCCCAGTAAATCGAATATCTTGGCATTTTCTCAAAGCACTGCTAGCCTAATCAGCATTTCACTCACTTTTGGTGTTGCCCATTTTTCACAGCACAGCACAAAGTATCGTCATCCGTAGTCCATGTAATTCCGACAGCGTAGGTTTTACTTAGGTAGGAACGGCATCTTGAATCGCGGAAAAACGTTTCCTCATCTCTTCACTGTTCGATGTCCATTTCCTTAGGTTAATTCCTGCGCTGCGACAAATATCCGTTGCGTACCGGTATGAACTATTCGCTTGACTCTCTCGCGTTGCCTCAATCGTAAAATTATCGACCTATATCGAATTTCGATGTTTATCTTCCGTTCTGGGAAAGTTTTTCTGTTCTTGATTCGGAACTTCCTGCCAGCAAAATACTTCTCGGCGTTGTACCAAACGTCAAACTGGTTGTCCTCCATGCAACGAGGTTTTCTTTAGTTAAGTTGCAAAGCTCGTTTTTCCACCACCGAAAAAATGAAGGGCGTCTAGAGCTTCTTCGTGAATACGGATCTAAGGGAATGCCTTTTCCACGTCTGCCGTCATTAAAACTCAGTGTTTGCGAAAGTTCATTATTAATGCCAGTATGGCTGGATTCAAGTTTTCTCCAGCTTCTGGGTTTTCATTTAACGACATTCTTGGTTTCACTGATGACGAAGCATCAAACAATATCTCCACTTTTGTTGTCAGTCGATCTTCTCTAATGACTGCTTGATACGGTATGTAATATGAAACTTGCTCAGATTCATTCGACGTCACTAGCTCTGCCACTCCCGATGTAAAGTATTCTTTCATAACACTGTTCTTACGTCCTCTTGGCACCGAGTCTTTCTGAAGTCTTCTAGAAACTTGGATCAATATTCTAATTGCTAATTTCTTATTGTCTTTCATTCTCGCTACTTCTTTCTGTGGTAGTCTTACTTTGTATCTATCTCCATTCTTCTCCAACGTTTTTTCAAGTCTCCACTGTCTCTTCAAAAAGGCCCTGCGTTTGAAATAGTAAATCATTCGTGAGTACAGCGTAGTGTGTGTGTGTCTTTTCTAAAAGCTTGTCTTCTTTGCGCTGATAAATCAGTCTAAATAATAAAGAAGATTATTTGAAAGAAATTCACATGAATGCATTGATGAACTTAAAACCAGTAAGGAATCCAGTAGATGGTAACGGCTTACGCGAACATTACAAGACAGTGCAAGTGCACACTAACACATTGGAAGCGCTCGGAGTTGCAGTGCTTCCGTTCGCTACGATGTTTATGCCACTCTTAAAGTGTTGCACACCACAATAATTGTTCCTTGATTAGCAATTCTACGAGAAGAGAAGAGAAAGTACGAAAGAGAGCAGGAACTTCGGAAGGAGAAAACAACATCGGTACTAGTGAAGATCCACTAAAAGGATGGATAACATTTTGCAAGCACAGCTGAGGTTCAGAGATGCGCTAGAAAGGTTGAAGATGGGGAAGACAGACCTTGAAGAAAATGAACAAATAGATAAAAGTTAACAAGCAATACTTTCACATTTCAGAGCTCCGTCACAAAAAGATGTTGATTCTGAAATCTAACCAATCGCAGCACTGAAGACTGTTGGAGGTCACTAAAATACAACGACACAAAAAAAATGTTTCCTGAAGAAGTAAGGTGCTTTAGGTGCATGAGACCAAATCAAAACGTAAGAGTTTGTTAAACCGCGGTAGTTCGTAAACATTACAGAGCAAGACACGCAACTTTCATGTGCACGACCAAGGGCAGTGATTGGAAAGAAGCATATTGACAAAAGACGGGAACGAAACAACGGTTTAGATTTTAGCAAATTGTGCAACCTGCTAGCGTCTTCTGAACTGCAAGAAAAATGCCTTCGTACTCTATTGTAGACGGGCATAGCACGGACAGAAGGTGTAGGTAAAACAGAGTACGCCAGAATTTCATTCGACAGCAGAAGCAAAAGATTATTCATACGAACCACTCTATCAAGAAGAATTTGTTGCAAAGTACTTCTCAGCGAAAACCTGACAGTTCGATCATTTGGAGGTAAATAAAGTGAAAGTCTTATCAATGTTGTCGAAGTCACACTGAAGAAAAATCCGAATGGGGAATTACTAGTAAACGAAGCTATTGAGAGAGACATGATAATAAAGATGCGACTCCCTTGCACTAACCACAATTGAAAGTCCTATATAAAGAACACGGTAATAAAAAGAGCTGCTGACAACCATAAAAAGATGTAAATCACAGGAAACAAGCTTAATCCTATGACCTGATTTCTGCTGCAAGCCAATAACAGGACGTGTGAATAGAATAAATGAACAAATGATGCTAGTAAAAAGCATTCTAGGTTTGATTGTACTTAAACAGTGTGGTGTAGAGTCATACGCCAGAAAAGCGAAATAAGTCATGGTTCTTCACGCTACAGAAAGAACAGACCAGATAACGGGTGCCATCCAAAGATTTTGGGATCTTTGAAATACAGTAGTAACTAAAAGGAAGAACAGGCTGCATAAATTTGACCACCTTTTTGAATCAATTCAAAAGACGGTAGAGAGTACTGGAGATTGATAAAAAGTAAGACTACCACAGAGAGAAACAGCGAACATAAAATTCAAGTATCTAGAAGACTTCAGAAAGACTCGGCGCTGAAAGGAAGTAAGAACAGTGCTATGAAAGAATACTTTACATCGGGAGTGGGAGAGCTAGCGACGTCGGATGAACCTGAGCACGTTTCATACTACATGCTGCATCAAGCAGTCATTAGAGAAGACCGGCTGACAACAAAAGTGAAGATAGTGTTTGATCCTTCGTCATCAATGACACCAAGAATGTCGTTAAATGAAAACCTAAAAGCTGGAGAAAACTTTAATCTAGCCATACTGGCATTAGTAATGAACTTTCGCAAACACTGAGTTGTAATGACGGCAGACGTGGAAAAGGCATTCCCTTAGATCCGTATTCACGAAGAAGATCTAGACGCCCTTCAGTTTTTTTTTGTAGTGGAAAAACGAGCTTTGCGACTTAACTAAATAAAACCTCGATGCAAGGAGGACAACCAGGTTGACGTTTGGTACAACGCCAAGAAGTATTTTGGTGGCAGGAAAGTCTGAATCAAGAACAGAAAAGCTTTCCAAGAACGGAAGATAAACATCGATATTCAATATAGGTCAATAATTTTACGATTGAAGCAGCGCACGAGAGTCAAGCGAATAGTTTATACCGGTACGCAACGGATATTTGTCGCAGACCAGGAATGAACCTAAGGAAATGGACATCGAACAGTGAAGAGATGAGGAAACATTTTTCCAATATTCAAGATGCCGTTCCCACTTAAGTAAAACCTACGTTGTCGGAATTAATGGGATACGGATGACGATACGGATGACGATGACGAAACACCAAAAGTGAGTGAAAGGCTGATTAGGCTAGCAGTGCTTAAAGAAAGTGCCAAGATATTCGATTCATTGGATATCTAACACCTGTCACAGTAAGAGCAAAGATAGCGATACAAAGGCTCTGAAAGTCTTGAATTGCCTGAGACGATCATTTAGCAGAGCAAGATGAGAAGATACGGAGGAAATGGCTGGAGAAAACTAAATCAACCAAAAATTTAAAAGTACGACGGCACTACTACTCAAATAAGAAACCACATTTAAACACAGAATCGCACGTTTTCTCCGATGCAAACCCTGCGGCATATGGAAGTATAGCCTACATGGCGCTGTCCTACGAAAACGGAGTCAAAAAGACAGTGTTGATTCTCGCAAAAAGTAAGGTATCTCGAATGAAGCATTGAGCCAAGCCAAATTAGAACTTCTATGAGCTACACTATCTGCGAAATTGTGGATTTACATCATAAGTAGCCTGAAACAAGAAACTGACCTGCTGAATTTTAGGACGAATGCTAAAATTGTGTTAACCTGCATGAGAAAAGAAGGAAGGCGTGCAGCACTCGTTGAACATCCCCTACAAGAAATAAAAAGAATTCAGCTGAGAGCCAATGTGCATACGTGAGCAGCAATGAAAATACGGCGGATCTTCGAACCAGAGGGGACAACGTGGAACAATTTTCATCAGCAGAAATTGGGTGCAAAGGACCGGAGTGGTTACAGAAGAAAGGCTATCCAAGTTGTAAATAGCCTGGTAGTAATGAAGAAAGAAGGGAAGTTGAAATACTTGTTGAATATGCGACGGAACAACGCGCAGAACGAGGAATTGAATTAGAAATGTTTTGCACTTACTCAAATATGTAAAGGATAACAGCTTGGATTTTTTGTTTCTACAGCAATTTTAAATGAAGAACGTCTGTGCTCCTCCGGGAGCTGAAGAGATCCGGGCCACGGAGAACCATATTTTTCGGCGAGAAGAAAATGTTCAACTTTTCAAAGAACTATAGAAAGTCGAAGCACATGAAAGAATAATGGACGTTAGATATTCACAGGCCAACAAATCATACTGAGTCTAAAAGGCCGACTTTAAGGATCAAGTATGACATTGAACGAAAAGCATCCGATTGCAATCCCTGTAGAAATCATTTTACAAAGATACTGATTAGTCATGTGCATGAAGAAACGTTTCATGGCGGATTGCGAGACACACTAGCCCGTTTAGGAAACAAGTTTTGATACTCAGAAGACGACAGGAAGTAAAAGATATCATCAGAAGAGGCATTATATGCCGAATGTATAATTCCATATCACCGCTACAAGTAACACCTCATCTGCCGACCAAGTAACGAGGACTGCATTTTTTCAAATGGTTGGAATAGACTTCACAGGCCCTATGAAAGCAGCCGAAATGAAGGAAGAGATGATAAAGGTTTACATAAAACAGTCTCAGCTTTGCCGCAAAGGCGAAGCAATAAACGCGATAGCAACAAATAGGAAGGTAACGCACAGAATGGCAAGCAGATCGAAACGTGTCCGCATTTCTCATGCACAATTGACACGCCAAACGTACTCACAACTACGTGAATAAGCTTCTTCGTTGTTACTTCGCTGCGTCTGAAAAGCGTCCCCCTTTCGCAAACGGAGGCCGTGTGACGATTGCAGTGAACTTTGTGAGCCCCGAAATTTCAACAGAATCGCTCCAGTGCAAGCCAAACACCAGCCTAGACGTATAATCTTGCCTACCGGGAGATAAGGGTGCTTGAGAGATTGTCAAATAACCTCCTCTCCGCGGACCGAAGTACGCGTGAGAGATGTGAGCCGTCGCGCACGAATTGCGCCATCTTGCTGATAATGTTGAAAACACAATAGCTCCTCCTCTCCCCCAATATGCGCGCCAGCAGCGGTAAGTGGTAGATATAGCTATGTTGTCGTTTGAATGATCAAGGAGGTGCCCTTCGGTAGCTCAGTAATTTACGTCTCGCATTTACTATGCCAAGGTCCCACGTTCGAATTCCGCGCGCTGGAGACTTCTTTCTGGATTTTTGTTTCTTCCTTTCGTTTTCGAATATATAGATACGTATACATATACGGTGCGTGATATTGACGCCACCTGCGAGATGCAGCTGAGAGTGTTTATATAATTTCAATCACAATAATACTCCTTACGTTCGCAGTTACGAAGGCCGTGCGCTTGGAAACAGCTGAAGACACTTCATTTGAAAGTTTTCTGCAAACTTTTCGACGCTTCATTGCAAGAAGAGAGATGTCCCTAGTCATCTACAGTGACAAAAGGAAGGCTTTAAATAAAGCTAACTAAGATTTGAACATAATCACGACGTTACAACGTCAGCAAACAAGAAATTTTCTCGCCAATCATCGTACCAGTGGACATTTATTCCCGAAAACGCACCATGGCGGAGCGGATTTTATGAACGGCTAATACGCATGTTGAAACAACCTTTGCCAAAAGTGATTGGTCATCGTTTACTAAATATTGATGAGATGCATTCTTCAGTCTGTGAAGTTGAAGGCATCATGAACATTTGACAATTTACGTACATTTACGAGGAATCGGACGAGCCCACTTCTTTCATGCCATAAGATTTGACTGGCGGGAAGTGAAAGATTAGAGCAGACGTAGAGGAAGAATGCGACCACAATCTTCAACAAGTGTGGAGACTTCACTAAGAAGTTACTAAAGTATAGTGGCAACGATGGAACTCTCTGTATATGAAAGCAATTAGGAGTGCATTATTGAAACCCGCAAAAGGAGTAATCCAGAGAAACTTAAATAAACGCGACATAGTTTTACTCTACGAAAGATATCCAAAGGCCATTTGGAAAATATGGTTAGTGAAGGAAGTTTTTTTCAGGGCGAGACCAACTCTCAAGAGTCTTTATTTTGAAGACTTCTTACTGGGAAGACTTCTTACACTGGATGGCTGCTTATAAGTACGCACCATTAAGACCCCGGTAATATGTGGAAACAGGAAGATAAATTAGAAGACGAGAAAGAATTCAAAGAAGAAGAAGACATATCATCATAATATTCGCTTTCAAATTATTTGAATAGGAAGCTCTAACCATAGTGCCTCTTCGGTTTGTTCGTCCACAACAAGCTGCAAGTGCATTAGTATATTACCGTGCTGCAGTTTATGTCATGTGAGGGACTTTTGAAGTACGACTGGGTCGCAAAGTTCTGTTTCTGAGGAGTGTTTATGTGACATTTCGGGATGTCAGCGGAGAGTGCCTTGTTTTTCTTGGTATTTGCATTGCAAGTATTTTATTGGGTCAAAAAGATTTGATAACGAAATTTCTCGTACTGTTTTTCGTCATGTTTCTCGTCAAATTTCTCGTCATGTTGCACTCATGACGCGATTCTCGGAAAGGACTTCCTTCAGGATTGTGGTGCTTCGGTCAACTGTGACACAGACGAAGTTACGCCGAATTGCGCACGTTTGTCTTTACTTACCGACACTTACACTTTCTCTTACTGCACTTAGCAAATTTTTGAAAATAACCTTCATTAGCCCCATTATATGCAGCATCGTTAAATCTGCTTCAAATTTTATTACTAGTGCGGTGTCCCTGACGTGCTAGTAAATACCTTCGCTTTTTAACCTTAAACCTGAAAAAGAAGGTGTGGGGTATGTTTTTCCTTTTGCTAAGAAACATCAAGGATTATTCATGCAAAAAGTCTTTTCATTGTCATCAGGCTGATTATTATGAATGTTTTTGAATATCGCGACACACAATGGGACATTCTATGTGTTTACGCTCGAAATATTGGCCAAAAGCGAGTTTTTTTAATGCGAAGCATTTGTTAGCCAACGTCCGCGACTTCGAGCGTATCCATCTGTCTGTCCGTCTATCTATCCATCCATTTATCTATCTTTCTATTTAGCCGCCCATGACTTTTAGCTCTTCCGTTCATTTCAATAATTGTGTCGATACCTAAATTGGTAGGAAATAACATTACGGTATTATGAGCTTGAGTGACTAGTCATAACATGAAAATCATGACACGTATGTCATGAATGTCATGACTTACCTTTCATGGTCTTGCGGCTCTCGCGATGGTTTTGTTCACATGACACGTTGCAAAACTGGTATGGTATGACATGACAGCATGGCGAACATGAACGTCGAAATCATGACATCATTTCATGTAAGCCGTGAGTCTTGACTCTACTATTCATGGTTCGCTCGTGAACGTTTCGTTAGTTTCACGTATACACAATTTGATATTACGGAGCGTGAATGGATGTCCAAGTATGTGACTGGTGCACACATTCTATTTCGATCAAGGATCAATCATGCATCACTCATGAGATGCGTATCATGTGATAACATGACTACATGCCACGCTCATGACGCGCTCAGGGCCGTTTCGTTAGCTTCACATATATCAAGTTCGGAATTACGTGATGTCAAAGGAGTACGAAGGTATATGACAAATGCAAGTAGGATAATCAGGATATGCGTACCATGTGAAACATGACTACATTTTATATTCGTAGCTTGCTCATGGTGGTTTGCTGGCTGCAATTATACCGCTAGCAGCATCAAGGTATCACGTGATATAAATAGACGACGAAGATAAATGACACGTCCAAACATGATTATCACGAACATGGAACTCATGTACGGCATACTTTACGTCCGCCTCGTGACGTTGTGCTGGTTTGAAAGTGACCTAATAGAGGTCCTCATTTTTGCTTCGCATTTTATCCATTCCCACTGTAGGTGGGATCTGCCGATTTCTCAATTTGTGACAGCATATGTGTACTGGTAGGAAGCTCTTATTGGTGGGGGACTTCAACTCTGTCCTGAATCAAAGTGATAGACCAAGCAGCTGCAACAATAAAGACAAAAGCAGTGTTGTTCCGGCACAGGTGATAATTGTATACGAATTACTAGATGTAGCGGAATGCCTGAATAGCTCCCAAGATGTGAAGTATATCTACATTCAAGGCACAAGTTATGCCCGATTGGACCGACTTTACTGTACTGCGGATGCGGTAGCACAATGTCGCATTTATTAAGTTGTAGCTGTTTCCTTTTCTGAGCACTGTGTTGGAAAATGCAATATTGGGCCAAAGAAAGAAAGGAATAGCTTTTCTTGAGAACAGTGGCTGTTCTTGAGAATGGCTGTTCTTGAGTACGTGGCGAGTCAAGTGGCGAGTCATTTAGCGACAATGTTATAAGAGAGATAATAATATTAACATGTAGCGTATGAACAAAATAAGAGAAAGCTTGAAGCTATTCAAACAACGAATAAAAATGAAAGAAATACAGAAATCTGGCATGTAATCTTATCAATCTAAAAGTAAAGACGAAGAGCCTAAACAGATACTTGATAAGCTAACGGCTCTTGAACATCGAGAACGTGGAGTTTATGCTGACGATTCGCGGAGTGTCTAACGAAGGATAGAGGTATTTGATGAAGAAGGCTAAAGCGGAGTGCTAGTGGGAGTCAGAGCAACATCGATGACTTTGGATGAACGGCCGACGAAGCGAGCACTCGATTTTGAAAACACTCATGCCAGCGAAACCCTATAGATGTCATTCAAGCCAGCGCTACCGAAGTTTCAGACAATGATAACATAGGACGGGTAGATGGTGGTAAAATAATTATTCGACCAAGGGATTTGGGCAGGTAAGGCCCAAGCTCCCCGCACTACCCCCACTGCGCTATGCGTTCATGAGGTCATGCAGTTGCATTACATAGGTGGCCCGGTCAGTGGCGGTGTTCTGCTTGACCAGATCCGTCGAGCGCAGCAGTCTCCCATTCCTCCCATGTGGTCAGTGGCTGCGGGCTCCGCGGGGGAGGGTTCGCCGGGCATTCGAGGAGGATAAGCGTAAGGGAAGCATGGGGGTGAGTGCATTGAGCACAGGATGGGGAGTTCTCCTGGGTAGATGGAGGAAAGAAATTTGGGGAAGGAAGTCTGTGTGTCCGGAGGCGACGCCGTAATATCTGGTGAAAATTGTCCAGGGATCGTTGGGGTGGAGAGTAAAGCTGGCGTTCCGCGCCGTACGCTTCAGTCATCTCGCTGAAGAAATGCATGCGCTTCCTGGAAAGCCCGGCTCGGAGTCCTCCACCGCTTGGTTGATGAGACCTTGGGCATGGTCATTGGCAGCTTTGTTGCCGGGATTTCAAGAATGAGCAGGCACCCAGATCAGCCCTACATGGCGGAGAGGATGTTTGGGGGGCGAGCTGAGCATGCCGAAAGCGCTCTCATGGATTCGGCCTCACGTAAAACTTAGGATTGTGGTTTTTGAGTCGAAAAGGACGTACCGGGCATCTCTGCAAGTGAGGGCAAGTGCGATTGCCGCTTCTTCCGAGGATTCTGGGTTGGATGCAGGAATTAGGCGGACATTTGCGATGGGCTGGAGTGTGCGATCAACGACTGCAGCTGCCGCGTCAGCACCCGTGAAAGCTGCATACACCCATACGGCATACTCATCGGAACCGTGTGGAGAGCTATGATGATCTGTGTGTGTATGTGTGGTGGAACTGATAGAAGTGAGAGGTCGGCTGCTGGTATGTAAATGCTGAGGGTGTCAAGTATGTGGCGTCCATTAAAAGTCTTAGGCCCGTATTCACAAACGCTCCTTCACTAAAGGGCTCCCCTCGACTTGACGAAGTCAAGGTGGAGCGTGCTCCTCCACTCAAGGGGCCGCTGCGTTTCATGAACGCTCCTCCACA